GACTGGTCGTTTGTGTCAAACTCTCTTCCACGAATTTTTATCCGGTAAGATTTATTTCATTTATTTTGATAGAGAATGTCATCTGCTTTTCAATGTATCACGTTATGAGAGATTTCGGAATTTCACGACGAATCTGTAAATGAGCTTTTTTTTAAGACAAATTATCTTTTTATTAAATTTGTCTATCGCGAAGGCTTCGTTTTGGAACGTTTGTCACCGATTTACAGTGTGAATGACTTCTTATGCATATCGTTTGTGTGAGAAAAGCAATTATATTTATAGTAACAAGAAATCGAAACCTTTTGCTTTTCAATATTAATATATTTGGGTGAATATTAGCTGGAAGAAATTTCTCCATTACGCAGTTATCAAACAGCAGGCGGTTTTATTTCTTATAAGTAACCATTTATTGCATTAGTAAACTTGAATATTTTCCAGAATACGCAAGAAATCAGTCACATCAACATGCGTTTCATTTATTTTGTCGTCGTCATCTTCGTCCAACTGAGTAACTTTCAAACTACAGTAAGTTCATTTAAAATTAAAAATACAACACAGCACTATACTAATGCGAAGATTTCAAAATTTTAACACAGTGTGAGATTGATAATTTCATATAATTTGAGGAAGCGCAAACAGAACAAACAAAGCTGTTGGATTTATCAGTACAGGGATTGAATAACGAACAAATGGGAAATTTGTTGTTATTAGCCGAAGTGGCCAATAAAATGCCGAAAGCCAAAATAGTCGCTAAAAATACAAATGAATTTAACGGTCAAAATTTGACAGTCAAGATGAACTTAACAGTCAAAGAAGAGAGCGTTAAACAAAAGAGTACGAAAGGACTCACAGAGAAGAAATCAAAAACGAAGAAACTGCAGTGTGAATTATGTGGAAAGATCATGACAGATATGAAAAGGCATATGATGACTCATACCGGTGAGAAGTTGTACAATTGTTCGATATGCGGGAAAAGTTTCTCTCGATTAGATATCAAGGAAGTTCATATGATAACTCACACTAATGTGAAGCCGTACAG